TACATATACTACACATTAATTCCAACAGCAATTTTCCTCATGTAGAATTAACTGGTGCTAGAGGATCCCAGAAGATGAGCACATGATCTGCACTAAGGTTGCTGGGAGAAGACAGAAACAAGAACAGCTGGGATGTGGCTGCAGTCGTTCTGTGCCAACATATTTTGAAGGGCAGTTTTGGACTTAATGAAATGATGAAGCAAAAGTGTGAGTGAGTGCAACACATAAAATGGAGAAACATAGACACTCTTCAACCAAGATGAAGAAGAAAAGCTGTATTGAAGCAAAAGCTCTACGAACATGTTGTGTGTGGATGTTGCATCTTGATTGACAAGTTCAAAAGTTCAGATTAGAAATGGGTGTGAACTAAAAATTAACCAGAAGGTTGGTTAAAAATGTTGGTTTGTTGGTTTGAGTTTGTCAAAACTGACGAGCCTGAACCATCCCAAAGCATGACCCTTTTTTTTACAATTTAACAAACTTCCTGGTTTATCCACCCCCCGCCCGCACAGCCTGCCACCCCTTCCCACTCCTTCGGTGGCCTCTGTACTTGGTCCAGTTGCCTCCTCCTCTTTGTCTTCCACCTCTGCTGCCATCCTGAGAGACAGCAGGCCTGGTTTCCCTTCTAGAAAATGGGTCTGCCATCTTTGTGCATTGTTGTTCTTTAATCATTAAATCGTATCTGACACTTCGTGACCCCATGGACCAAAGCACGCCAGGCCCTCCTGTCTTCCACTGCCTCCCGGAGTTTGGTCAAATTCATGTTGGTAGCTTTGATGACACTGCCAACCATCTTGTCCTCTGTCGTCACCTTCTCTTCTTGCCTATTAGCTAATAGGTGGGTGCAGACCTGGCTTCTGGAAGGGAAGCTTGGTTGCTGTCTCTCAAGATGGCAGTGGTAGAGGAAGAGGAGGAAGAAGAAGAGGAGGTGACAGGACTAGTTAGGGAGGTGATAGGGACAGTGGACAGGCTGTGGGGCTACAAATGGGTGATCCAGTACCATTCGCCACTGGATCAGGGCCACAAAGTGCTGGAATGCCTATTCGCAGCAGGGGAGGAAAAGGAGGCAGCAGGACTGGGTAGAGAGGTGATGGAGCAGTGGGAAGAAGGTGGCGGCAGACTGTGGGGTTGCAAATGGGCGATCCAGCACAGTGTGGTGCCAGATCATGACCACACGGTGCTGGATCACCCATTTGCAGCGATTTGTGCCCATCTCTAGTTCAGATTGCAGCCGATGTGGAGCTGATTTCTCCTTTGAAAAAGTATGTCAGGAGATTCAAAAATCCTGAATGTTTATGGAAAGCACTTTGGACTAAGATCAAACATAACTGATGGGGGAAGGTAAAACGGCATTCCCTAGTCACACTGGCCATGTGACAATGGAAACTGTCTTTGGACAAGCACTGGCTCCACGGCTTGAAAAACGGGATGAGCACTGCCCCCTAGAGTTGGACACGACTGGACTAAAAATGTCAAGGGGAACCTTCCCCTTTCCCTTTATGCCACTGAAGTTCTGAGTATATGTGAACAAGACTGCGGTGTAAAAGCACCTTGCATGCTTTCAATCACGAAAATCTTTAAAAAGAAAGGGTCAGAAAGAAAATCAAATTCTCTAATAAAATCTTCCATAAATGCCATAAAACAATTCTCTCACACTGTAGAAGAGTAGATCAAAGCATTTTGGAACAATATCACAGTAGCTTAAAAGCAGGAGTATTTAAACAAAATAAAAGAAAGAGATTTTAAATATTATTAAAAGCTTTGGAGAATAGGACAAATTTCACTTGATATAGAAAATATATAGTAATAAGGGTGAAAGTGAAAAAGGTCCAACATTTGGTCATTATTAGAGATGGGGACTTGAGTCATGGGGCTTGCTGTCAAGTCGGATTTAAGTTGCACTGGCAACTTGATTCAGGTTTTTTTTTGGGGGGGGGACTTGGATTTGATCTGCAACTTGGAACCCACCCACCCCTTCCTTTTTTCTGAGGGGAAAAATCTTGTTTTTAATAGGGACTTGAATTTGGGGCTTGGGACTTGGGATTTTGTACCAGGGACTCCGACTTGGGACTCGGACCCAAAGACTTGCCAACATCCCTGGTCCTTACCACTGAAAAGGCAAATTCTTCAGGTTTGTAACCACATGTTGCTGGTCGAAGACGTTTTGCTACCTGAGGTGAAAAATAAGATGGAACCTGTCACAAACCCGTTCCCCTGTGTTCTTCCACCCAACCCAGGTTCACTTTCGGGTATGACATTTATTTTTCAACCCTTTCCGCTGTCACCAGAGGAGTCACTCCTCACTACATCAAATCAGTGTTATTCAATTAAACAATGCTTATTAAAGTGTTCATAAGTGAATCATATAAAGTAAATCATGGATGGTCTTATTATATTTAATCAATCAACCAACTGTGCTTTGGTAATATTTATATTTGCTTATGTATAATCATGTTAATCCAAGTATTTATTCATTTCTTTTCTTATTCCCTATCTCTCTATTACTCTTCTCTAACACAAGACTGGTCCTAACTGCCTAAACTGCTTCTCTCAAACTGAAGTCCTTAATTCTAACTCTCATCCCTAACTCATCCCTAACCGAAATCCTCTCTCTAACTGCTCTTTAACTGCCATCCATTCTTCTTATATTTCCTTAGTCCCGCCTTTTCTGTACAACCATTGGCTCCTGAATCAGGGTTCCATTGTGATGGTCAGGAGTGGTTCCTGACCTGTCCGTCACAGACCCCATTCTAGATTTAAAAAAAAACCAGTTGGATGAGCAGTTGCATTTTCCTTCAGCATTGTGGTGGATCATACACCACCACATCTGAGGGTAGCAAGCCAACTTACAGGGAAAAGATCAAGTTGTTTAGTGATCACTTTTCTCTTTCTACATCTTGATGGCGCACCTGTATCTACTGCCTAGAGCTTAGTGCTTCATTTTCTATGATGGCAGACTGGGCCCTGTACAATACAAATTATATAATGCTCTGCCTGGAAATGGGCAATATTAAAATATTTTAACTAAAACTCTATTCGATAAGTTGCACCGTATAAGACGAACGATGTCATCAGTTGTGGCAATTTTTTTTATAAATAAAAAAAATCCCTGTCCCTTCCCCAAGGCTCCTGTGTAATCACCTTTATTGTGAGGAAGCTATTGGGGAACCATGCATGTGCAGGAAGTCTTTAATTTCTAAAATAGAGATGGAACCTGAATTAATTTGGGTCCCTTCATCCAAATATCTCTGCACAGCTGCTGTGCGGAAACTCGTCTCACTCCCTTGGCCAGCTGGTTCACTCACATTTCTTCACGCATCACTGGGGCCTTTTACTCCTGTGGCATGCCAATCTGGGCAGGTGCTCAGATTGCCTCTCCTGGCCTCCTCCAGCAGCCGACCACTTGTTAGCTGCATGGGTAGAACCTCTGTCCACCCTCCTCATTGGAGTGGGCGGCTGTCAGGGGAAGCGAGGACAGGCAGCCTGAGTGCCTACCCAGATTGATGTGCTACCAAAGGACCCAGAAATGCACAAAGAACCATGAGTGGACCAGCCAAGGGGGTGGGACAAGTTTCCACATGGCAGCTGTGGGGCCGTGAGGAGATATTTCCATCTGCTGGTGATAAAATCATACCACCTGTGGTGATTTTCGGAAATTAAAGTCATCCTGCATGTTTCCAATGACTTCTTTATGATGAAAGGGATTCCAATGGAGCCCTGTGCTTTTCAGGAGGCAACTGGAAATTATTAATTGAAAAATCATCATGTCATCAGCCCTATGAGGCTTACGTTTTGCAACAACATGGAGGGAACTGGTATAATCCACTGGTGGCAAAAGTACAAATGGGAGACTGAGTCTCAAGATGTATAAAAGCTAGCAATGCAGATTTTATTATCAAAAAAGCTCAAGCTCGACATATTTCAGCTGTGGTCTTCTTCAGAAAGGAGCTAAGCATAAAAATATAAATATATATTAATTTAGAAACAATTGGCTCGGGACAGTTTTCTTATCTATACAGTTAACATTACAAATTATAAATAAATATGCACATAACAAGGTCATTTAACTACCAGTGCAGCTAAATGAGAGCATTATTTTAGGTTTAGGTCCTGAAGAAGGCCACAGCAAAAATGCATCGAACTTTTTTAGATAATAAAATCTGCATTGCAATTTTTTATACATCTTGAGACTCAGTTTCCCATTTGTACTTTTGCTTAAGTTGTGCAGCAGGATTTCAGTCCCTGATTTAAAATGTTCATCTAAGGGTTTTTAAAAAAATCACAATAATGACCATTTGGTTCCAAATGCTAAAATTAATTAAATACAGTGGTGCCTCGCTTAGCGATTGCCTCGTTTAACAATGTATTCGCTTAGTGATGAGGTTTCTGGAGCGATTTTGCGCTCCGTTTAACGATGTTCCCTATGGGGAAAATTTGCATAG